AGGTTAAATAAAGGAAAAGAAATTTAAAATATGGGTCAATATTCATTTAAACAATTTAGATTTAATTGAGCCCGCGGACTTATCCGTTTATCCGCGGGCTTCACGGGCCGGATACGGACTTGAAGATTTAAGTCCATTTATTTCGCAGACCGGATTTATCCAGCCCGTTAAAAATGCGAACTTCGCGGACCGGGCCTTAAACGGGCCGGACCGGTCCGCATACCCACCCCTAGTAGAGACCAGGGACCTCTCAACGGGCTACTGAATAGTCCGACCCATCACAGACTATTTATCAAAATCCCAATAAGCATTACCCATAAATTAACAATAGTATGCAATATAATTGATATTAACATATAAATATAATTTATTAATTAATGTTAATCCATAATAATAATAAAAAATAGAGAATAATTATATAAATAAATATAACACAACCATCATACTAGATCAATATTTTATGAACTAGAATCATATGACAATATACAACATGTTAGCGATTCAACTTATTACATATATGTTCAACACTTAGTCAAATAATCAATCATTTTTCATTCAACAACTTATGTCCTACACCGTTCTCTCTACACTCGATGTCATTGAGGCACAGAGCCTTTGGAGCGCCCATACCTGTCGCCAAACTACTCGTGCTCAATGTGAATGAGGTAGAGAGTCCATGTGTCAATCACGCTTGGCATGATCAAATCCATGTTCGACCTCATTCAGGCAAAGAGTCTCTGCCTAACTCATGCCCAACATCACAACGTTGATGCTTAACATCGTCTAGACAAAGAGCTTTTTTATTAATCACGCTTGACATCACTTAACTAGGATTGATGTCACCAAATCAGAGAGTTCCAACGACACCCATGTTCGACACCCCTTAACTCACACTCAACGTGATCAAGTTAAAGAACTCTCCTCTACTTACAATAATTTTTTAATCAATTATTTTTGAAAATAAACAATTATTTTTAACGAGATGTATGTCTCTTCTTTAATTTTTATGCAATTTTGGAGTGAAATAAAACTCCTTCATTATTTTCTCTTTCCAACCACACTCAATTTTTTAAGCAATAGTTGATAGTTTGGACATATGTCAAGTAAACCTCTATGTTGGTTAAGGAAGTGGTGACATACAATTAAAGTTTCACATCATTAAAATAAAAAGTCTTTTAGATGATAAAAAAAACAAATTTTTGAAAGTTTAAAAAGTCAAAGTAAACAATATTACTATATAATGTAAAAATATGTATGAGAGAACTTTGGGATACAACAAGCAGCAATGGTCACTGAGTTCTTGTGATCCGAGTATCCGACCGAGTGGTTGATGAAACGGATTGTACCCGACTAAGGTTAGCTGAGTTTAAATCTCATAAGGTATATGTGTGCAAATCAAACTCAAATATGAATATGAAACCTTTAAGCAAAATGTTTCTTATTTTACTTGGACTACTACTAGGCGTTCATATATTACCTAAAGTTTATGACAGCTTACTGACATGGATTCTTAATTCCAGTCTAAAAAAAAACAGACTTGGCAAAACTAGAAAGTCAAAAGAGAATGACTAAATTTTCTTTTAAGGCAATGGAGATACGTGCCGAATATGTAGATAACAAATAACAATAATAACGAGTCAATGGTCCCTTCATGGAGAATAAAGGAGAACTTTGACTAGTGTGCTAGCTTCTGCCTAGTTATTTTGCGAAGTTAAAGAGGATCATATGTTTCAAGTCTGGTTGATAAATTGTGCTATTATGCTTTTAGAGTATTACTATTATCATAGCGGTGATGGCCTTACATGAAATGTCAATATTTATAAACAGTAACAAATAGAATCTTACGTTTTCAACGGTCAAATCTCGTTTGGGCAAGAAGGGAAAATATGTCAGACATATTTAGTGCACTCACCAAACTTTTCGGGTTATTTAATGTTTGTATACACGTGTCGGTTTCGTTTCAGCATAGATACATCTATGCATGGTTAATTTCTAAATCTTGAAGACCATGGCTTCTACTTGTTCTTTTACAACGTGTATTTAGCGTTTGGCACCAAGGCAGGCACATCAAACGGCTCCTACAATGATTGGCACCGACATCTGTTTAACTTCAACTACTACATTTTTATTGCAATAATTTCGCATCTCGAATATAGTAAATGCGTATTTTTTGGACTATAGGAAATCTGGGTCCAAATAATTTCCTAGCTTGTGTTGTGTCCCTCCATGGTCCCTGAAATGCGGGTTAATAATTGTCATGGTGTGTGGTGTCCAAATTGCTAGCAATGTAGAAATGGGTCATTGAGTACGACCTTATGTTTCTATATATGCTTAATACTTGATAGAGTTTGTAGTAAAGGCATATATGTAGACTCAATGATGTAGATTGTATGTGTTGCTAGCTGTAATCAATCAATAGCTGTTATTTACACAGGTTTGAGTTGATGTGTATATGGAGTGATGTCTAACTATTTTTTGTCAAACATTCTTTTATTGACAATGAAACCTTCAGGATATAAATGTAGAACTTCATCTAAAAAACTTCAAAGTGAGATATCATACATAAGTTTAGATTATAGTTAAAAAATTAAGTTGAGTTAAACTTAACTTTTGAAACCAACGTTAAAGAGAGAAAAAAAGTTACAATTTTTTTTTACTTTTAATTCAATTGAAATTTCCTTACAAATCTCACTCAACAGAACCAAAAATAAAATAAAATTAAGTGTTACATTCGATATTACCTAATTATAGTGTAATGGAATATAGCATAGTAATAGTGAAGATGGCTTGTATGTTTGTGTAAAATGTGACATGATTGAAGGCTAGGTAAGTACTTCTACAGTTTTTGGGACACTCTGAATTGACAAAGGAAAGTTATGCCACACACATTTGATGTAGGGTCATTGTAGCTGCAAAATTGATTATGGAATGGGGCAGCTACAACACTTCTCTAACCTTTTCTATTAAAGGCGTGCCCTTTCTTTTGCCTTTGCAGAATTGTTTTTTAACTCGACAAGCAAAATTTAATTGCCCACTCTACGGTAAGATACTCAGATCACCTTTTTTTTTTTTTTTTTAATAACCACCGCTATTATCTCCCACAATTGTCTTTAGCTTGATTCTCTTCTTTTTGTTGATGTTATTCGACATTTGTGTGTGTGTAAAGAGCAATCATATGCATCAAATAAATTTCCACTTTACAAAAAGAGGAAAAAGAGTGATCATGTGCGACTATGAAGACCCTGATATCACATACTAATATTTTGCCTTGAAGTCAGAGAAAGTTGGGACCATTAGCAAACAAATTGATCATATACTCCTGCATCAAGGAATTATATAGCTTTAAGCCATTAATATAATAGCATTAATTGGGACAGCACTTGAAAGCAAATACAGAACTTAAAATGTTATAACAGGCTTAGTGCTGGCTCCATATGCGTCTAGTTTTAATTTGGTTAGTGCGGTTGTTGGAAGCCCTAAGTTCCTAATAATGGAATGACAAGAACTCGTAATGAAAACGGTCGCAGTATTTTGTTAGATTAGATTTTGTAATTTTCATTTGGCTTCAATTTGTTCTTCTAAATTTGATTTTGTCTTGAATTGAGTTTTGAAGTATTCATGAAAAAAGAAGCAAAGTTAGTAAATATTTTATGGGTATGTTAATACTAGTAAAGTAATAATACAATATTAAATTGTGAGGATATTATCAATTTATAAGTTAGATTTTACATTATCGCAAAAAGCAACTGACCATTAGTTTTGCTTTTAGGTAATAAAGCCATGATTTACATGCAAACTGCTGCTAATAACTACTCAAAATTAAGCAGAAAAATTGAAGCCACAAGTCTTGCCTACCCCTCTATGTAGGTTTCAGTGGTCTAAATAAAATATCTAAAGATGATAAGAACCCTAACAAGATGCTCACGCATTGGCTGGCTGAACTGACTTAACAGTATAATAAGCAGGGAAAAGTCATATCTACCTGTTACTGGCCATAAATGATATATAGTTTTTCTCTTCCAACCATTACTTTCTCATCAGTATATTTAATTCAAATTGCATCAGCCACCACTATTTGACATTCAATTCATTTTTATTAAGCACGGTCCAAAATTACTTATCATAAGTCACAGCCCACATGGAATGATTTAAGTGATAAGTTTAAACTCGGTTCTTATTGGTCCTCCACGATATAAGGAATAAGGAGGAACAACATTTATAAGAAAGAACTACTTTGGTTTCCCAACTGAAAACTAGTCTCGTATTCATACCCTGAGACAACATAGTACGAGCAAAGCCACAATAAAAATAACTAACAAGTCATCAATCACCATTCACCAACTCTCCAGCTGTTTTAAGTTTGTGGCACCTCGATTCATAATCATTTTTATGACTCGTGAGGCTGTATTGCTAATGTCATAACTAGGCAATCAATGGTGTTCATAACCATGCTGATTGGATCTTAAACATGTCACGTTTACACAAAACACTTGCTCATAAGTCAAATTGGCGATATACAAAGTACTGTGTTTAAGTGCATATGTTAATCAGTGAGCATGTATTGTCAATGAAGGTATATTGTGCAGTTTGACAAAGAACAATCCCTTTGTCATTTTGTGGACTTTTGAGTGAAGCTAGAGCAAGTGTCATCATTGTCACAAGCAAATGCATGGAGCTTCTCGAAACTTGACCTCTAATTTAGTTATGATTTGGGTTGAAAACTTAAGTGGGAGATAGTACTCATGAGCTATTGAAATGAAAACTAAGTTCAAAATAGAAAGTGCAATTAATTTATCTAAACCTGTACCATCATTAAGTGTTGAATTAGTCGACACATCATTGTCTGTGCTCCAAATTCTCAATTCCCTTGCCGTCCAAACAGGAAAAATAGTGTGGTTCAAACCAATTACTGATCCTGTTTTTTGGACCGTGTCCTCCACAACCTCGGTCCCAGGCAAAATGAAGAAAATGAATGAAAAATCAACCCTTGGCACATGATAGAAGCACGACCCAATTAATATTTAAAACCAAAACTACACTGACATTAAAATATTTACACTAAAAGTCAACAAAATTAAAGCCACCAGGAGAAGATAACATTACAAATAACTGTACCCCACAAGGGACATCATGTATAAAATTTACATAATGGGAACAAAATGGCCCTTGATACTTATTTGCAACGAACAGCTCAGCTCTCCATCCCAACCAGATCTAACTAGTAATCCTTCCATGCCATTTGGATCTGCGACTGATTGAAAGAGAAACAAATCATTAAATTAGTTCATGTGGCATTAAACAAACATAAGAGGTAAATAATGAATTCTTTATAAAAAATGAAGAGGTTAACAGCTAAGAATATCACTGCAAATGCATAACAAACAATACTCTACTCATAATCAAAGATTCCTGAAATATCCCAACACATGGAATTGACCAAGCAACAGGAAAAAGATTCTCAAATAGAGAACTGCAGTGAATAGTCCCCGTTGTTTATATAAAATATGAAAATGATGGACCCTCTTTCCCACTTATCCAATTAAGATTAATTTATAGAAAGCATGTAGTAGGGCCAATAGGAAGACAAAAGTGTACTATAGTTTGAAAATGACTCCTTGAAGGTAGGGACGCTGGTAACGATGGGATGACTTAAGCAACCCTAAGATTAGCCAATTTTGCAGGTCATACCCCTCAATGGGAGGCATCCCAACACAATGATCATACAACTCATACAGCACCGTTACAATTGTCCATTTCAATAGTTTAGAAGGTCTCATTTTCAGTTTAAAAACAACGGGCTTACTCATGGCAAAGAAGCAAAAGAACATAAACAAACCAAAAAGTATGAAATCTTAAAAGAAACTTAAACTATAAATAATTTTATAATTATCTATCCAGATTTTGAGAAGCAATGACTACTTCGACAGATCTAGCAAATGACTACATTCCTAAAAGTTCCATAATCAACAAAACTATAATGTGAACACTAACTTCATGGTTAATTCTCTTCAATCTTGACTCTCTCCCCAGCTGCAACTCTTCAAAATGGCAGGCTCTTCGAAGTCGAACTTGAAGTGAGCGTCTTAAAATGATCTGATGGCACAATGTCTTGAGGCAAGTTGGCTCTCTTTACAATTTTTCTCATGTTGTTTTGCAAACTCTGCTGGACTAATTGCTTCACTGCTTTCTTCTCCTCACTCATCATATCTTCCTCTTCCTCGTAACATTCTTTTCCTCCTCCATCCGGCTTCTGACACGCCGAAGAAGAGCCACAAATAGGGGCAGAGACAGCTGCACCCAAGCCATAGTTCCCAGAAACCTGCTTTCCCTTGTCCACCCTCAAAATTTCCAATATCCTTGATGCCCTTTTCTGAGCCAATGTGGTACCCAAAAGGGACAACTCAAGCAGTGATGACCCAATCCCTGCCTCAACCATGGCCTGCTTGTCCCCATATGACTTGTGTGCCATAACCATCAAAATGTACGATGCCTTCTCCTGGCACTCTGGTGAATCAGTCCAATTCAACACATCCACTAGAATTGGGATCGAATCCGGCACTGCACTGATTGCCTTTCTGCCCTCTCGGGTTGACACCACATTGCTGAGGATTGCAAGGGTTCTTTCCGTTACCTCCATGTCCCCTATTGAGTTCACCAGAAACACAACCAAATCGGTTTCCAAAATGAACGCAACATTGGCTGGGAAGATTGAAAGATTGTACAGTGCTCGCATAGCATCTTGCTTGGCTTGGGGACTAGTGTTGTTATCTAAATCCTTAAGGGTTCTAACTAAGAAAGAAATTGCAACCGAAGACCCAATTATGGGCTTATTCGCATCCAAAGCACTCAATCCAAGGAAATTCGCAACAATTGCTTCAGAAACCGAAGAATCTAGACCATCCGGAGATTCAATCAACTTCAGCATCTTCTCAACAGACCCAACTTTAACAATAGCTGCTTTATTCCTGGAAAAAAAAAACCCCAAAACATTAAAAATAAATCAAATATTGTTAATCACAGGGAGAAAGGCAAAATCACGCGTAGCACTCAAAATTAACCAGCAAAAAAATGCTTATATTATACACCCAAAAATTAAAAAAAGAATCATTTTTTTTATAGTTAATCAGAGTTATAAAAATGCTTGATACATGCAAAATGGAATTGTAAAACAAAACTCAAAAAAACTAACCTGTCGTTTTAACAATTAAATGACGGAGAACAAGCAAAGCATTTAAGCGAAAACGACATTTAGAAAAAAAGAAAAAAAGAAAGAAAAAAAAGAGTCGATCAAAGGAGAATGTAAATTGAAAACGACACCACACACACAGAGAGAAGCAAAACCAAAATTAAATATAAAAAAAAAAAAAAAAGAGACAGAGAGAAACCGACGCGTCGTTTCCGATTCCGAGGTTGAGCAGCGCGTAGAGCGAAGCGACGAGCGCAGCAACGTCGTGTCGAGAATCAAGCATTGCCACAAGCGGAGGAATAGCACCGAGCATGGCGAGCGTTCCCCTCACTTCCAAATCCTCCTTCGCCAGAAGCCTCACTCTCGCCGCAGCACCTTCTCTTCGTTTCACTTTCACCAAACCCTCTCTTTCTTCTTCTTCTTCTTCTTCTTCTTCTTCTTCTTCTCCTTCGCGTTGAAGCTCCTTCACGAGCTGCTTCAGCTCCTCCAGCCTCTCCTCCTTCTTCTTCGTCTCCGCGTCCGCCTCCACCTCCGCAATGTTCAGCAGATCGGAGAGCTTCTCCGACCGCACACTCGCCTTCGTCTTACGCTGCTGCTCCTCCTCGTCCACGGTCGATCTCTCCGCGTAGCGCGAGCTGGCGCCGCAGCTCACGGCGTCGAAGATGAGCCGCCGGAATGAGGCCGCCGAGAGGGAGTTCCATAGCCGGAAGTGCCCGCCGTCGCCGCCGGACTTCGGACGGTGCCCCAGAACAAGGCTTTCCACGTTGTTGCGGTGGTAGTTTGCCATCTTCCGCGACCTACATTGCAGAGAAGAAAAAAAAAAAAAAACTAGAGAGAGAAGAGAGTGTTTTTTTTTTCTTTTTTATTTTTTTTGTTTGAGAGTGAGAGAAAACTCGTAAGAGAGAGAAAGAGAGAGAGAAGGAACCGTTGAGTCCAGGATTTTGGTTTGTTTTCGGCATTTATATAGTTGAGACCGAGCTTGTGTGAGAGTGTGTACTGTGTGACTGTGTCTGTATGTGAGTGAGCATGCTTCTCACGCACACCAAAATTACGTTAATTTATATTTCAATATTTTAACTTTATACATATTACTTTAATTCTCAACCATTTACTGCTTAAATAATTATTTACGATTATTGTACATCTTCTTTTTTTTTTTTTTTTTGAAAAAAATACTACTTTTTATGAAATAATAACAGAATATTTTATATTTACGTATTATCATGAATAGATACTTTCATAAAATTACACACTTTTATAAAATAATATAACTTTTCATTAATTTGAAAATCTCCCGTGCCCCAAAATCTTATTTATGACATTTTTTTTGTAAAGTGAAGAAAACAAACAAAAATATAGGAAAGAAAACATTGACATAAAAAGAACTAAGTTGAATAAAAACGTTAAAATGTATCTACACAAAAATAATTTAATAAACTAATTTGAATACAAAAAATAAAAGATTTTACATTAAATTACATTTAGATGGCAAATTTTATAATTTTACCTTAAATTTATCTAACGTTAAATATATATTAACTTAATCATCAATTTAACATTTTTTTTAAAAAAAAAAAAAGCAAAGTAAGGGTAATTAATTAAAATTTCTGAAACAAGTAGGGTCTAACTTTCTAAGTATAATTACTACTAGTTTCAATGAAAAAAAGAGAGAGTAATTATCGTATAGTTAATATTTTAAAATCAGAAAAGCATTTAGTATTTAAGTCAGTGTTTATGTAAAAATAAATAAACAAATAAGTTTCTGTTAATTTTTAATCAAAAGTTTTGTTTAATTAATTATAATCATTAAAAGCTTAGTAGTAAGTGATGTATACAGGCTGCATATTAAACAAAATCTCTCTCTTTGTATACAAAGATTAATACAGGGAACAAATCCAAAATTGGAAAAACAATTATTCTTAAGGAAAGTCTTTCTTTATTTTCTGTTGATTTTGTCTTTTGCATTAATTTCTGATAATTTTTTAAACTTTGAGAATATCCTTTTTCACAAACAAAAAAAAAGGGCAAAACAAAAACGTGTCACATTTTATGTGTATTTAAAGCATAAAATACGGGTGAGCATGCAACATTCTGTATAATAGTTTAGACAGATTCAGGTAAGCATAGCTAAATGGCAGTTCGGTCTTAAGTTCTTAGACTTAGTAGATAATTGATTTTTTTTTTACAAACTTGTATAATTATATTTAATTTTTGAGTTCATCATTAAAAGTTTATAGATTTTGCAAATGTTAAAAGAAATTATTAATTATTTTTTGTATATTAAGATTTAAATATTTAATTATGTATTAAAATATTTAAATTATTATGACATTAAAATTACATTTAATTGTATAGCTATTATTTAAATTATTTTTAAGATATTTTGATATTTTTATTATTAAAAATTTAATACTATTATATAAATATTAATAATATTTTTTGTCATAACACTTTAATACTTAGGATTTAACATTATTCTAAATGATAGTAAATTTTTAGTATGATAAACTTTAATTTAAAAATAAAAAAATTCTTTTCTTCTAATTTTATATATTTTTTATTTTTAAAAATATATTTTTTAAATCATTATTTAGATCATAAATCAATCTTTATATCTGCAAGTTTTGATAGGCCAAATACAAACTTAAAAAAATCTATTTATTTTATAAATCAAATTTGGCTGACTCATATAAAATGCAAATTTATAGAACGACCGGTCGTATATTCACTACTGGAAAAACTATTATATTTAAACATTTCAATAAAGTTTGATTTCTATGTTTATGTATTTGAAAAAAACTGAAATTATAAAATGTTTTTAGCTTTTGACAATTTTTTTATGTCGAACAAATTTTATTTATTTTTAACTTTTTACACAAAGAAAAAATTAATATTAAAGACTCAAATGTTAAAAAAAAATATTATAAATTAAAATAAAATAATAAATAATAAATATTTGTACAATAACTAAAAATAAAAGTTTAATAATAAAAAAACATGGAGTATTGGAATTGTATTGTGGCAGAAAAATGGAACTTAGAAAAGACGGCACGTGTTGTGAACTCTGGTGTGTTGTACAAAACTTGTCGCTATTGCATGCCAGCTAATCGTGTGGATGAAGGAAGTTTCTTGTGGGACCTGTTTGGTTTTTGGCTATGTGGGACTCGGAATCACGTTGGAACAGGTGAATCTGATTGGAGGATGCATTTACGTTATGGTAGATGTGCTCACAAGAAACGTGCTTTATGTGCAAAGTTGAAAAACACTGCGCTTAATCCACGTCAGAAGACTACGTGTTAAACGCTGTGTGTGCATGCATTCGGATGAATGTGAATCAATTTCCAAGGAGTAAATACAAACTTGTCTCCATGTCCTTCACTTATTCGCACATTAGCCCATTTTTTCCTTTTTTCTTAAGTATCGGAGCTTAAATAAAAAAATTTGATAACGTAAATATATCAATAATTTTAAGAAAATAAATCAAAAATTTTATATATAAAGAAAGAAGTATTATATATTATTAATTCATTTATTATTTTTTTATTTCTTAGTATAAACTTTAATAAATATTAACAAAATCATAAATAAAAGTTGTCATTAATTTTCTCTTTTTTATCTCAAATTTCTTTGACTTTTTTCTATTTTTTAAATCAACACTTATCTTACTTCATTAAAATTTTAAAATTAAATTATAAAATGCTTAACAATAATAAAATAGATAATTTACATAGATTGTAAGAGTGATTTTGACCCATCAATATAAAATAAGTTTTTTTTATTAAATATTGAAGCTATATAAAAGTGACTTTTTACGTTAGTTATATTTAGAGAATTTCTATCATATCCTCAATAAATAAGAGATTTTAGTATTATATTTGATGTAAATGTACACATCATTAATGTCAGTCTTTTAAGTAAATTTAATTTTTTACTTAAATTTTTTATATTATTTATTTTTAAGTTCTTACTAATTTTTTTATAATTATATAGTAGCAACCCCCTCTTCTTGTTTTTGTTGGGATTTCGGTGCGGTTTTGCTTGAGGAAGAAATTCAACCCAGATTTGATCCAAGATTTATGGCATTTCATTCGCCATGATTCATTGTTACATACTAGGCTACCCTTCTTCGAAAGTTCTACGGGACCACCTACCATTAGTCTTCGGTCGGAGGGGTTTATTGCACAAAAACATCAGGATGCAGGCTCCTGAAGAGGGAAGCCCAACAAATGTCAAATGCAAAAGTCCCACACTTCATTAAGATCATATTAGCATACTCTCTCCAAAAAAAAAAAAAAAAGAGCAGACCCCATTGAAGACTAGAGTGATGTACAACAAGGCCATTTTTGTCCATCGCCCTTCTCACGGAGTCAGATGTTATATGTGGGATTTTTCGTTTCTTAAGAATTTAAAAATAAATTATATAAAAAAATTTAAGTAAAAAAATTAAATTTATTTAAAAGGCTAACATGATATTTAAATTGTAATGTAGTAAGTCAGTTTAGAATTTAGTTGACTCTAGAGAGAAGAGTATATAAGGGTTTCTCTAAGAAGGGAGTCTCATAAGTTCATTCTCAAATAAACTTAGAGAGAAGGACTCTAGGACTGCTAGGAAGCTTGCTTTTGAAGGATTGAAGTCTGCAAGGTCGCACTTCAAGAGAAATTATTCTTCTTCTCAGTTCTTGGCTATTTTGAGCCAATCTTCAGGTGAGAGAAGCTTGTTTGATTGCATGTGAGTTTAGGAACTCAATTGGTGCATGAATTTTGAGAAGAAGTAGTTGAATCGAGTGATTTCCTCATTTTCGGGGTTTCGGGAAATAATGGGGTTTTTGGGTGATTTTGATGCTTTGAGTGGTTGTATGTTATATCTAAGCTTGTTTTTGAGTTGTATGGAGTCTATGTGCTTCATTTCATGGATTGCATGTGGTGAAATCTTCTGATTTTTAGTTATGGATGGGATTTTCAAAGTTTTGGGAGGCTGCTGTTTGAATTTGTGTCGGGCTTGTATTCATCAGAGGCAACCATTTCCTAATCACGTCGGGCGCGAGGTTAGTCGCGTCGGGCGTGGTTTGAAATGGGAGTCTCTTGATGAATCACGCGGGGCGTGAGGAGAGCCACGCCGGGTGTGAGGAGAGCCACGCTGGGCGCGATATCAGATAGTGGCTGGTTGTGGTATTTTCCTGATATGGCGTCGGGCACGGGGTAGATGCATCAGGCATGGAGACCTCTAGAGGTCTCTATTTGAATTGGTGCCAGGCGCAGGGTGATTGTGCCAGGCGTGGAAACTCCTAGGAGTCTCTGACTTAAGGACGTCGGACGTGAGTTGATTGCGCTGGGCACGGATGAGCCTTAGAGCTCTCGGGTTGAATGTCATGCCGAGCACGAGATGGTCGCGCCAGGTGTGAGTATGCTTGATAATTTGGTTAAAGTTGTTAAGTTGCCCGATGAAAATGAGTTGAGTAGTTGTTGACTAGGTTGTTTACATGTTGTTTATTGTTGAATTATGAATAAGTCGAGATGTATAAGTTGAAGTAGTCTATTGTTGTAAAGTTGATATTGTGTTGACTATAGTTGCTCAAGTTGTATATTCAAGTTGATGTTATGATGCCTATTATTGTAAAGTTGTAAAGTTGGGGATGTATGGTGAAGATATATGTCCTATATTGAGATACATAGTACTAAGGTGATAAGTTAAAAGTTGTTTTAAAGTTGAATCCCTTAGTACTGTGTGGGCGACATGGAAGTAGTCGATCCATGTCATGGTTGAATGACCAATTTGAGTAAGGTATCTAGTTAGAGATGTAGTCTTTGACTAGGTATTGGAGGGTGCGTGGTACTTGGAGGACAGTGGGTGGGCTAACCCCATATGTGGATTGGTTATGCAAACCAAG